TTTATACGGAACGCCGAATGCCAAAAATCCAACCGTAGAAGCATTGCCATCATGCCAACGATTTTTCCACTTGCTCAGATGTGATAGCCGGGAGAATCCTAGCACGGTAATGAAGAATTGTGGAAAACTCATCTAACTAGAAAATTACCGAATAAACAAAAAATTTTTTGGGATTTGTGGAATTATTCCGAAACCAAGGTAGGTTATTCAGCTGAGGAGGGGTTAATAGGAGTAAGACACAGAGGGTCGTAAATGCATGGGGGTTTGGCTCCTCGATTTCTCAGACGCACCTGTAAAAGGTGGCAATATTAGAGCCGACATTAAATACGATATTTCCATTATTTGAACAGCGGGACCGTTTTGGGAAATTGGAAAACGAAGAGTAGTCGTTAGAGGTACGCTCATCTTTGTCATAATCATTTTCGTATTGTGTAAACGATGACGCCCCTGTGTTTTTTGGAATAGGAAACATTTGAATCCCATGGAATGTAGCCAATAAGTAACGGCCTTTCGGATTCGGAAAAAGAATGTTAACTAATGCAGTGCCTATGAAAGTTCTTCGATGCTAGAATTGGAACGCTTTCTGGAGAACTTTGAAATTCTTTTATCAGACTGGGTGATATTATTATTTTATCAATCACTCCCAGGTTTCAATGGTCTTCAACGTCCTGGAAAGTCGATGTGGAAATGTGGGCACTTCTGGAGATTTCCGAATACCTCACAACTAAGTATTTCCATGAGCTACAAAACACTCGGTTCCACATTTCCAAACACTTAGATCATTCATATTATTGTTTTCTTATTGAAAAAAAATAGCTGTACGTGTGGCGCAGTTGTCGGTCGGAGGCGCTCTGCAATACAAACATAGGATCGACCCCCGCGACGATGGCTCACCAAGCCTTCCATCTCTCCGAGGTCGGCAAATTGGTACCAGACTTGTCTCGGAGGATAGCAGCACTGGCTCGATACATCGCTAGGCCACCGCGAGTCATTGCAAAGGCCAGATATGCATTCAATTACCTCCAAACGATGCTTAATGAAGTCGAATGCATGGCGCATCCCTCCTGGATCGATGAACGCCTAGTGCTTTATCCTTCATCCTTTTAAATTAAAAGAAGGGGTATCGATTTGGTAAATGCGAGTAGTAGACACTGAATGATGGAGTAATGTCAAATGAATTCCTCCGTGAATTTATTTATGTACCATGTGTTGTTCAATACAACGGACGACATTAGTACTTTCCATAATAGGCTTTATTGGAAGCGAGTTCACATCGCTGTTCCCGTATTCATAGATGTTTTTCATTTCGAAATTGGGCGATTCATGGAACGTCCCAGTGTTCCAGTGACGTAGACCCTAGAGGTTTATGGTGTATGAAAAAACCAATGTGAAACGACGATAACGGCAAAGGCAAAATGTAACTTCTAAAAAAAATACTTTTTATACTTCTCATTTTACGACATGAGATAGCTTGATGACTTGATGACTCATACAAAGACATTCGATCATTCTAATCGACAACATTTTTGATTGAGTGAAAGCATTTCCAGCTTTTCGTCGTTTAAGGCGGGGTTTTGGGTAGTGGTCTTTTCATGGATAGGAAATTAGCTGTTTGGCAAAAAGGCGACAAAACATAGTGTGAATGACTAATATGAATAGCGGGTCTTTTATATCGTCGAAAGAACGAATTAACATAATTATATTGATATTGATTGATTAGAAGTGTTAGTCATACAGCCATCCACTTGGATGCACCCACATGGCTCATCGTGTTACACATTCTATCCGGAAAAAAATGACCACTCATGCATTATGCAAAACACCCTTACTCATCGAGCTGGCTACCGAGGACTTCTTCCGTCGTTGAGAGAACTACAGGGTTCTCCTGGGCGAATATGTTTCTGAGGAGTTCGATTCTTATGGTAAAGAGTTCTCATTCGAACACAGATATCGTTTACAATACCATTCTTATGACTCACAATTTTATTGTGGGAAAAAAGCACTGATATGAGAAAAATCCTTACTCATCTCCATTGTTCCATCTCCAGCACAATATTGTTGAGCTTTTGAGTAGAACGGAGCTGCCGAAGGCTCTAAGTTGTTCGTTGGCAGACCTGAAATTCGTGAGGAAATCAAGCGAGTTCAACTTCGTCTATAAAATTATTCTTTCTTTGTGAAACACAACCATAACGATGCTGAGATACTTGCAAAACTCTGGACTGCAGGTGTCTGTGGAGGGGAACGATGGCACAATTGTCCTTTGCGGGAGTAACGCGTTCACCACCACACCCGGAAAGGACAATAGCGCGTTCGGTCCCCACCGCATACACCTGCTGTCCGGAGTTTTGCAAATATCTCAGCATCATTGAAATATCTAATTAGTTTGCTTATCATCACAAGAATGGTGTTAGTTCGATTTCGCTTCGGGCCAGCCAGCCCTGTTATCCCTCCGGGGTCGGGAAATTGGCACCGTACTTGTCAGGGAAAAAATCATTCTGTGCAATTCAGTTGGGAACGCTCCAGCCCGGCTATCTCAGGACTCCAGGCAGAATTGCTCCACCAGCATTCTACGACATTCAAGATGAAATGAAAATCGTCAAGCAGTAGCTGAAACCACACGTAAAAGTTGGAAGATTTTCGTGGATAATGGATGTGAGGAAACGAATCGATTGTGAGAAGTGCTTGGATCCGCACAGCAGACGTGAAGACAGATCATATAGAAATAAAAGTAAAAAAAAGCTTTCCTGTATTATCACAGCCCTTACTAAGTTAACGTTAATTTGTACTTAAACAGAAATCACCTTCAACGTTTAATTTTTGCTTTTTGTTGTGAACGCCTGTGCTGAGGTTACTCAGTGGAAGAGCGATGACTGTGTGCAGACCTTTCGATGTAAAAAGGAGCGGATGAGTGCTAATTTGATGGATTCACAGAGGATTCGCAGAGCAGTTGTTAGCGCTATTGCTCCTGGAACTCACAAAAAAGACTTTGCACTGAGTATGAAGAAGATGGTATGATGTCGTTGCTATTACTACTACTCAGATCCTAAATGGGTGATAAGACGACCGTTTTGCTTTACTCAGAACATTTCTCACACGATTGATTTCTTGTGGATTATCATACATAATCATTTTGTTCAAGAAATGAGGACATTTAGTAGTGTTATTCTGTGGTCAATCCGCACGGTATGAGCATTTGACTGATTTGAAGTGCTAACACGTCCTGTTACTTTTAAGGTTATTTTTCTATTTTTATTTTATTTCGTTTGGTCCGTCTTTACGTCTATTTTGCGGATCCCATCACTCATCACATCCAATTCCTTTCCACGCATCCATCGTCTCCGAAAGCCTTCCAAGTTTTTAAATGTGGCTTCTGTTCCTGCTTAAGGATTTTTATTTCATCTTGAATGTCGTAGAATGCTCGTCAAGCAACTCTTCCTGGAGTCCTGAGATAGCTGGATTGCAGCGTGTGGTTTTTTCACAGTTAAGTCCGGTACCAAGTCCCCGATCCCGGAACGATGAAAGTCTTCGTTAGCCCGCAGAGGAGTCGAACTAGCACCATGCTCGTGATGACGAACATCACTACTTCTGTGCTATCCGCCCCATTTATTTTTAAGGCAGTCACATAAAAAGACGCTTACATCCTCTTTTGGTTCCATCAGCAATTTGCACTCAGTCTTTTATCAGCTGCTCTCTTCACATTTTCGGGACATCCAGTTTTCGCACAAGGCGTATGTTTGCAGGACCTTTAACAGAGATTTGTCAAAGGTCTGGACTACGTATTAACTTAGATGACAAGATCATACCCTTCTTGTCAGTTGATTTCATGCAATTCAGCATCTTGAATAAACAATCACAGTCTTGCCACGAAATCGATCAAAACATTAAAAAATCATGATTTATGTATTTCTAAATGCTCAAGAGCAATGCTCTTGCACAGCAGTGCGGATGGTGTTTATCAAGCTAAAGTGCGACTGCCTCACTCACCACCACCGAATCTCTCTAACCAACGAACTGTTCTTTAAAGCATCTCAACATCATAGAACTGGGAAGATGTTCAAGAACCATGGCGTTATTGGAAATTCCTTCAATAAAGGCGTCGTTCTCTTGGAAATAACGTGTAGGCCGTAAGTGCGCCTATTTTAAGTAAAGAGTTGTATTCAGCTCGAGCTATAGGACTTTAAATTTGCCGTAAAAAATCAGTCATTCTATTTATAGCAGCTCAGCACTTGTAGAGCTAAACGGTTAGTGGCTAGCAGTTTTTTTTGCCGTGGCTAAGAGACATTTAAAGCATTCAAAAAAAAGTGGTCAGCGTTAGGTGGGTTCGAACGGGAAAAATAAATTTTCAAAGATGTGCACATAGCCAGCACATTGTAGTGCTTCAGCAATACGATAAGTGGTATGAAATATATCTTGGAGATAGAAGGAACGATTACACAAAAAGAAAGGCTTAAGTAAAATCAATAGTTGCCTTGGGATGTGTGACAAAGACAAAGTTCAATTTTTATTGTTTCCTTAGTGACGCTCCCAGTGATCATTCTAAGACAGCGACGGGATCGTCTGATTCTCTACTAGTTTCAGCGTTGCAAGTAGCGCAACAGTATCTACTGGCATACTCGTAGTTGCAATCAAGCGCTCCGATCTGTTTCAGAGTGCCACAGAAATTTGACAATTTATCCGAACATTCTGGAAAGTAGAAAAAATTAGTGAACCAAGAACGGGCACTTAGATTACTATTATGATTACTATTATGACAACGCCGTTAAATGATTTTGCTAAATTTGAATTCCCTTTCAAATTTTGGCGCTTGTTTCAATTAAATCCCAGTCGTAGTGAAAAGTTTGAGGACAAAATTTCGAATTGCTTTTAGTACATTATCGGCCTAGTGATTAAAACATAATTACTCATAACAAAGCTGCACTTTTTGTGAACAGTGCATTACATAAACTCTAACGGAACCTATTCGTAAACTATCGCGAGAGAATAAACGGCCGTCAATTGGGCTAATGTGCTGGTACTGACCACGAAATGAGAGTTACTGTCAAAAGTATCACTTCATCTAGTGAATATGAGGGTTCTGTGTTATAAATGTAAAGCGAATGTTTGCTGCAACTACTTTCACCCAGTGAAGAATCATCAGGCATGGGATTAGGCTTCCATAAATCCGTCTTCTCAGTGTTGCTTATCGAATTCATCCTTCTGCGATTACACACACCGCAGCCGTAGATGTTGCAAACCTTCTGATAGTCGCTTAAAGAAGCGTCTGTTTGTCTTCCAATCACGTCCTAAAATCAGCTTTTAAACACGAAAAAGGAAAGAATTGAGCATTATGTGGAAAAAACTTCTTCGCACCGTATATCTGGAATCCAAGGTCTGCATGGTGATCGTACCCCGTCGAGCGAACGCTGTCTTTCCGTAATGCATCACCGATGTGTAGTCGTAAGGAATATTGAACACTGTCGAATATTTGGAGGAAATTATGTCGAACTGACTTCCTAAGCCTTAAATTTGCAGGGGATAACTATTTACGCACCACAAGTATCGTTTTGTATGCTGAAAAGTGAGGATTAGCCAACAGAGAACATATGGCTCCGTATTTCTATCTATCCTCATCAAGACCAAGTATGAATTATAATAATGATCTCACTCATATAACGCACGTCTCACATTTCAACGAAAAGGATTGGAAACAAGAGACAGAGGATGAAAACTTTCTTCGTGAGGATTGCTGCTGTTGCAGTTGGTACGACTCGCGAACAAGAGGTAGCCTAGTCTCATTAATTACAGTGGGTAACTTTTATCTATTGCCCACCATTTTTTCACGACAGGATAAGAACGATAAAGGATAAAACTCTTGGTGTTGATCAATTCCTGAGGGATGCTCCGTGCCTTGAACTTCATTAGGCAACGTTGGAGGAATGAATGCACCTACCGATCCATCGAACCAGTGCTGCTGTGTCTGGTACCAATTTTCATACTCCAGAGAGTTGGAGGGCTTGCTGAGCTACGGATGCGTGGATCGATTCCATGTGCGCGTCACAGAGCGCCTCCGTCCACTGCGCCACACGCGCGGACGACGGCAGGGTATTACGTGAGATACAACTGCACTGATGCTGAGGTATTTGCAAAAAATGAACCTCAAGCCAGACTGAACAGCGATTACTCTTCCTGGAGGCTCACGTGTTACGCTTACCCAAACAGTGTCGTCAGCAATCACCAGCCAACAAGAATGGTCTGGGGACCACGAATCGGCGTTAAACCTAGTTAAGCTAAAGCTGCAGTCCAAATCACAATATATAACTTTTACGCGCAATTAATTTTTTGTGGCAAGGTTTTATATGAAATACAATCACAATGATGCTGAGATATTCGCAAAACTTGGACTATTGTCCAGATCGAACCGCGATTATCCTTCCTAGGCACTCACGTGATGCGTAATCTCACTACTTGTTTTATTCTGGGGATCACCAGAGTTTGCAACCATGTGAAAAGAAGTGATCGCTCTTTGCTTACTCACTTCGCAGGAATGGAAAAAGCTTAGAAAACACTGCGCTAATTCAGTTCAGATCTCTGGAAATACACTGCTGGAGCAGAGTTCTCGATCGACTAATTGAGTGTTGCATAGGTTTTGTTTTCAAATTTTCATTTTATGACATGTGATCGCTCGTTTTGCCTTTCGACCAGTACTCGCCAAGGTTACGGTCGGTCGAGGCTGCCAAATAGGTAGCAGCTTTGTTAGACGGATAGCAGCACTGATTTGATCCACTGGTAGCCCCGAGCCTACGTACAGGCAGGCATTCAGCCATCTCTAACGATGATGGATGGAGTCGAATCCATGGCGCATCCATCAGGGATTGATTAACGCTCTCCTTTATTTTGTCCTGCATTCTGTGTCTCACTTTTTTTATTAAGCAGAAGAACGCCAGTGAATCGTTTAAATTTGATAATATTCTGAGAAAAAGGGGACAAGTTGCCCATATGACAAACCTGGCCGAATGTTCATATAATTAACTCTGACGTATTTGTCTCTGTCGTAGCGCATATGCTCGTGCCACAGTCCGATAACGTGCAAAAGTTCGTGTTGGACGATTTGAATTACCACACATCTAAATAACTACAAACCTTTGTAAAATGTACCGCTGAATGTCAGAATTTCTCATTTTATCAATTTAGTAGTTAAGACACTGTGTCCTTATCTTCTTTTGATCACTCTTGTACTCGATCAATGAGAGGAGGTAACGTCGCGATTGAAGAAATTCATTTATAAATAAAGGATAAAGGATAATGCTCTCAGCGTTAATCCCTGTGGGATATGCCATGCACTCGACTTCATTAAGCATCGTCTGGTGATGACTACATGCATATCTGGCCTTTACAGTGACTAGCGGTGGCCTTCCAATGTATCTAGCCAGTGCTGCTTTCCTCCCAAACAAGTCTGTACCAATTTGTCGACCCCGAAGGGATAGAGAGCTTGGTGGTCCATGGGCGCGGCGATCGATTCCGTGTTTGAGTCGCAGTGGCGCCTCCAACCACTGCGCCACACGCGCGCCAATTCATTCATAGTGGTCAAGAATTATGACGAACAGTGTTGGGTTTTAGAAATGACCGACTTTTCGAAGGAAAATCGCTGCGCTGAAATTTTCGTATTGAGTAAAATCATTTTTAAAGGTGCGAGCTCATTACAATTACAGTTGTCCAGCAGACTTGTAACATTAAACTAAAGCTCAAGAATCGAACTGAAATACGGTGGAAAGTGAAATGGAATGTTGTATCTATAATGTTCTTCACCTTGAGCTTCCTTCCGGTTAGAGCCAATTCTTTTTAGCTTACTTCTGACAAGGTCTAGAGAGCGAAGTGTTAAAACACTTCTCAACTTCAGTGCCATTCATTTTTCCCAAACACTGAATTGAATGAGCAAATGCTTTTTGGTATCTGGGGAAGAAGTAGTATTCAGCCAGTCCTTCTAGCCTTCTTATCAGAAGCATCCTTTGCACGGCGTAACAAATATATTTCATTGAGTCTAATTATGTTTTCCCAGGTAGAGGTGTGACCAGGTATGGTCTATTGCGAAACAATTCAAAGCAAAATCCCACTCAAAGTGGGCAAACGAAAACTTTCATTACTATCTACGATTTCTAACATTAGACTACAGCAATCCAGAGTGCTAAAGCACTTTCTAACTTGGTGACCCATCTCTACACAAAGTTCCGCTGAAATTTACATCTTTAACAACAGGATAAACTCCTTAGAGTTGAAAGGGCAATTATGCAGTCCTTGCCCATTTTGCATTCAACTATGAGACTGCCGCAACATCATTAATCCACATTTCCTTGTGACAATCTAATACATAATGCGTGTAGGAAATTGCTATGAAAAATTACACGGGCTCATTTGCTAAGAACTAACGAAATCCTCTGTTGATTCGACGCTAGCCAAGTGCTAGCGGACTAGTTTCGCGAGGACATGGTACTGACTGACACATAAAATGCCTATGGGGATCAAATCCCAGTCCAAACTCTGTTCTATTGTTTCCTTGAGAGCCATTTTATTCTTCTTTATCGAAACCTCACAAGAAACTAACGTGTTCTCCGAGTTGGCTTCAAGCATCAAGACGCTTCGTCCTTTCAGCCGACCCACACTGGTGTAACATCTGGAATTAAGGAACTAGAAATCCCGCACTGAATCCACGAGATTATCTGGATTTCCCAATTGATTTGTTCTACGCTTCTTTAAAAGAGCTAGCTGTAGTTCCTTCAGCCATTGACAAAGGTCTCTGGATTTTCGTGTGAGTAGGGCCGATGCTTGAGGCTTTTTTCTACCCCACGAATGCGTGATTGCCTTCACCTAATCACAAATTGCTTAGCAAAGCCCATTTGGTAGTTCAATTAGAAATCAAGTTGCTTAGTTTGTTGCTTTATACTTATAAGTCTCGTGACTTTTAATGAAGTATCATTCAACAACTTTTACGCCTATTCATTTAATCTGAAGTTGTCTACTTTCATTAATGATTTATTATTTACGGAATAGCCTAAACCTCAAGTTCGTCGTAATTGCCAATTTCTACATCGGTAGAGCATTTCAGCCGAGAAAACCCCTTCATTCGGATGTCGCCTTGAGATCCGAATGCTCCTTGTGATGCGATACCACTCACCCTTTATTGTTCTCGTTCTGAATGTCGATGTAATCCGCTTCAGATCTTCTTTGTCGGAATCGAACACAGGTGTTTCCTTCAATCCGCTTCATCGCTTGTTTTATTGTGTTGAGTTCAGAGGTGTCGTAAATTATATATGATGGATTATAACGAAAAATTATACTAGGTAATAAATAAAAAGTTAATATTGTGATTTCGACTACAGCCTCAGTTTAACTGCGGTCGTTGTCTACTTGCGCTCCCTAGATCAATCCCGTTGATGGGTGATTGCTGATGGCGCTGCTAGATAGAACTAGCTAAAAGACAGGTAGAACGAAGGTGTCATCGGCGAGGGTCTGCAGGTTCTTACTGAGAAAATCTCCGAAGTATTGCAATTAATACCCAGTGATAATGATGATAACAATACTAATGGCGGTAGCTTATCGCTAACAAAATTAGTTTTTGTTAATATGGTTCGCGCGTACGGCCCAGTAGTCGCAGGTACCCTATTCCACATGCGTGGAATCCATCCTCGCGCACATGGCCCACCAAGCGTTCCATCCCTCCGGGGTCGGCAAATTGGTCCAGACTTGTTTGGAAGGATAGCAGCACTCTGGCTCGATACATCGGTAGGCACCACGAGTCGTTGTAAAGGCCAGATATGCATTAAATCACCTCCAAACGATGCTTATTGAACTCGAATGCATGGCACTTCCCTCAGGGATTGATCAACCCGAGAGCTTTATCCTTTTATACTTTATTATTAATGTGTTCCAATATCCAGCTAATATTTGTATTCAACGAGTTTGTAACAGCCACCAAATCGAGGTCTCGTGATGATCACAACGAAAAGAATCGATGCTTTCAAAGATTTGCTTTCCGTTAATAACTCCTTAGCTCATAGTGTTACTTTACGAAGACTGTGATATCCTCAGATCACTTTCTATTACCGTAACTTCCTGAAATTATGTATGGTATCACAGTATTTCCATTTGAGTCCTTCACATTCCATTTCCTTTGAGAGTTGTTGAACATAGCGTTGTTGAATTTGCCGTCGCTGTAGAATCTTAAATAAATTGCTGGGCATCGAAATTGTTTAGAGTTTACAGTGAGCAGTGTTTAATAGAACGCTTTAGCAGCATATGTGCTCAGTTATTGTTGAATACTCTATCTTCTCACTTGGACGCAGTGACATGTAGCATTGCTATTGGTCATTCTCGCATTAAAATTAATGGTTCCCTCGTCTCTTCCCTGACGGGTTTTGTGAAAACTCGTCTGGGTTTTCGTAACAATAGGTTAACGTCTTTTTGCTAAAGGCAGTGGTCTACTAAGGTCGCAATTAAAATGTTAAAGAAAAGCAATAAAACCCATACTACTGATCACCGCCTTCCTGGTTTCAGATGCAGACAGATTTCCTTCAGAAAGAAGGACTCGGTTGAACCATGTATTTTGCTGCATTAATATCCCAAATAGTAGTATTTCGAATATTTGTCATGTTCATTCACAAGCATCGCTATCGCTAGCATTCGCACAAAAGCAGAAGCAACGTAGTTGTTAGGCTCTGTTAACGGTTGACCTTACGTGACTGCAAGCTGTTCGAGGTTCGTGATTATTGGTTCGAACAGTATAGAGTGTTAAAGGTTAAGCGGTTTGGACGTCGATCAATGTTTGATAAATGTGCCATTTATTCCACTCCATTAGGTATCGTAAAGGCAATCCAATCGGCGTATTTGCCCTATGCACTGCCTTGCAATAGCATTCCGACGTATTAAGTCAGTGTTTTTACCCATTCAGACGAGTAATACCAATTTGACAGCACCGTCACGGTGGATGGCTTGGTTCGACCAAGGTGCAAACCTTGGGCCAAACAACTACATTGCGTGTATTGCAGTTCGAACCACTGCGCTAAACTTTCCCTCTGTAGCGCGTATACGTGTCATGCTGCCTCAGGTATTCTTTTATTTAGTAATTTCTTTGTTCCATTAGAAATGACTGTGAAAAGGGCGAACTCACCTAAGTTCTTCTTGAAGTTGTACAATGTCACCATCGTTTTCTCCGTTGAAAATGTCGATAATTTTTCTCTAGGAATATTATTAGAAAAATTAGTGTATTCATAGCAGCCATTTCAATACACATGACATGAGTAGGGTTCCATCGATCATGGAGGGAGCAAAAGAAACGGGGAATCTTTCGAAATACTCCATAGTTCCCAGGATCGACTTTCTCTTAACCTCGGCATTGGAATATGAATGTGTCGTTTTCTTGTTCAGCAATCGCGAGGTTTTTAAACAGCATACATTTACTTCCATAAAAAACACAATACAATACAACACTAGCTGACGTTTCGGCAGTATCGCCTTCTTCAGAGCCGCTTTTTCGTGACTTCCAATGAGGAAGTTTAGATTTTTTTTTTTTTTTATAATCAGCTGTTCTAAACTTCCTCATTGAAAGTCACGAAAAAGCGGCTCTGAAGAAGGCGATACT